GGACCTGCCTTTCACGGAGGCTTTGCAGTGCCACTGATGAACCAAAGCTGTCGCAGGAACAAGAGAACGAATCTAYGCTCAAGAACCTAAAACTCATGGGAGTGGACGTAAAGAAGGCATTCCTGCGTCAGCCCGGGGTGTTTCGGAGAAAATTCACCAACGAGCAAGGCCTTTTTCAGTTTCTGCAAGAAAAAGGWGCAAGCTGTGAAATCATTGCCAGCATYGTGTCTCGTTACCCTCGCTCCATCACTCGCTCATTAGATTACTTAGAGCAGCGCTGGCAGCTGTGGCGAAATGTCTTCAGCACAGATGCAGAAATCATCAGCGTCCTGAATCGCTCACCTGAATCTTTCTTCCGCTCCAGTGATAATGAGAACCTGGAGAAGAACATAGCTTTTTTGAGGTCTCTAAAAATGAGCTCCAAACACTTTCATCGGCTGATGACCCAAGCGCCACGGACGTTCTCCAACAGTGTGGCGCTGAACATGCAGAGAGTGGGGTTCCTGGAGGACATCTGTTTAGAGCTTGGTGGAAAAAATCCAAAGCAGTTTGCTAAAAATATATTATCTAAAAACATCWATGTTATGCTCAAGAGTGATACACGAATCCAGTCAAACATAGACTTCCTGAGAGTCTGTCTTAAGATGAGCAACTCTGAACTTCTGGATTTTCTTGAACACCAGGGAGCAGAAATCCTGGACCTCTCCACTGTGCATTTGAAGAATAATTTTAACAACCTTGAGGAGAAGCTGTCTTTACTTGGATGTGAGAAAGATGAATTAAAAAAACTGATATTAAAATACTCAGWTATTTTTCACCCTAGGGCAGCATATCTGAACTCCAAACTAGACTKCCTCCTGAAAAGAGGCATAACAATAAAGCAAGTACTGAACAAGCCTAAAGTTTTGGACTACAGCATACAAACCATGACTGAGCGACTGGACCAGCTGCAGACAGTGGGATATGACTTTCAAACCAACGGTATTGCTGTCCTGGACATCAGTCGAGAGCAGTTTGCCGCAAGGATGGAAAAGCTTTCTGCTGCGATGAAAGAAAGCTGAAAACTGATTTTCTTGACTGTAATTTTAAATATTTACATTTCAGGCATAGTTCTTTGTATTGTGACTTAATGTCTTTTTTATTTAAACATCTCAGTGTTTTCAGCTGAGCAGCAATGAATGTTATTTCACAGTTGGTTTACAAGTAATGATGATCTTTGTAATTATTTTGCTTATGTTAGCATATTTTGCAGTAAAAGCTGATTTTTCCGGTGACACCTGTCTAACTTTATTTGAAGCCCTTAAATATTCAGTTAATTACAACATTACACAATCACCATATCTCATCTACATGTTTYAGACTCAAATGTAAACACTGCTTTGACAAAATCACTGGCAATTGGCAAAACTGTTAACACTACAAAGTACTTAAAAAAATTATTGCAAACTATATCTGCTCCTTTTACAGTAAACTGCACTCAGTCACTGACAGAAACCCTGAAATCTTCTTGRACACAGTCAAAACACAACACATACTGGACTCGATTCTCCTCTCACAGTTAATAAAACTCTTTTACTTCTAAATCACAGACGTTTTGGAAGCAATGTAGTAAATTGATCATTTGTGATATTGACACTTAATTTTCATGTTGTGAGCACATTTTTGGTTTTTATGGAAAGAAAACTGATATAAACAAAAACTAGCAATTAATCCATTTCTAATATTGCAAATTTCTTATTCACAAATGTACATTTTCATCATCTTCACTTTTTCTTTCCAGGTTTGATCTGTAAAAGTACCAACAAAAAAGCTATAAACTCGTTAAAACGTTGTAGCTCGTTGAATATATTTAACTTAAGATCTTTTTTATGTAGTAAATGTAGAAACATCCTCCTGGAATAAACAAAAATAAAACAATACCGGTACATTTTAGTTTTCGATGTCCAGTCACCAATTAAGCTGGAAACTGGTCCATTCTTCTAAAGCTAAATAACAAATGTGCATCCCTAAAAAAAATCAGTTGACTGGACTACTTGACTTGAATCTGCCAATGGGATGAGACAATACACTTGGTAAGATTCTTAAAATCACCTAAATTGATTGAATAACTTGATGTTCACTTATCAAGTGCAGTTTTCTTATCGCATTGGCAGATTTTTTTCCACATAATTTTAGTCAAATTTCCAGGCTAACAATTCATAGAACTCTAACAGAACTTATTTATCATGCTGTTTAAATTCCTGTTTTGTAAACATACCACCAGCAGCAGGAGAAGATGCTCTCAGTCTTCTGCTGACCGGTGCTGAAAAGCTTATGGTCTGGCAGATCTTGAATTCCACCCATCATCATCTTTTGGATATTTTTTAACAACCAGGGAACACCTGATGCTTGTGCAACAGCATCTGAAAGATRATACCAGTGTTAGTTTCTGAATTTTTACTTCACATAGGGAGGATGTGTGTCTCCGGTTACTCAAAATCAAAATAACTGGGAAACCATTCTGCATGACAAAACATTCAGAAATAGCTTTAAATTTGACTTGTTCAATTTTAGTTTTCAAATAGGTCTACATTATGTAAAACCCATAATCAAAACCATTTACATCATGTAAAAGTGAAATTACTGATCATGACATAAGTTTTTAAGCAATAAAATGTGTATTGTTGCACAAAAGCTCTTGTGGTAAAAAGCATCTGAGCTATACATRTAAGCTTAAATGACATTATTTAATTTTGTACAGGGATTTTGAGATCTACCTCTAAAAACTGTATTTAACTGTTTCTGCTGTTGTGCGGAACCAACGTTTGTTCCAATGTTCCAGCGGGGATGGTTTAGCAGTTGCACAGCTGCTACCGCATGACGTTCAACTGGACTGTGAATAAATGAAGGTGTAACATTTTTTTTTTGTTCATGTTCATTATATATTGCTTCCGTTGTAACCTTATGTATTTTGTGTGTTTCTGTAAATAATTTAATTGAGAGAACTGGCGAACGGATTATAGGTGATTTGTGCTGTTAGCTTGTTAGCAGTTTAGACTTTTTTCTACAAAAATGTTACTTTGCTGCTTACTTTGACAGCTTAGAAAATTCAGGGTAGTTAGAGCACTACTAGAGCTACAAAAACTTTTTTTTTTTTGGTATATGAATAGGCTCGAATGTATCAACCTTAATTCTGTGTTGCTTGCAAACTCAAGATTGGTTRATAAATACACTACAGCTGGTCCTTATGAAGAGTTTTAAAGTACTTTATAGATAAAGACAAAAWTGCACACATAAAAAATATGTTTGTCAATAGCTATGAGTTAGTATAATCACCAACTCTCCCTGTTATCAACTAGTTGAGGTAAAGTTGACATTTAGATTTGTGTCCTGTTTTTGACTAAAAAAGAAAAATGTGATCTTCTGTACAAAACAAAGCATTATTTTTTTTGCCAAATCATCCAATGTATTATTCTTTTTATATGAAAACAACATTTTTAACAAAAAAATACACTRTTAGGAAACACTTGGAAGCATCTTTTTCTCTTAGGTGTGTAAAGAAAAGACGTTATGTTACATTCTCCTGATGTAATCTTTAAGGGAAATGAGATTTATTATGTTTTCAGAATAAAAATTAGAAGAATGTCCGACGGGGTGATGGACGYGGCGATGGAAGAAACCACAGAAAGAGGAAGAGATGTAGCTGCAAAAGGCGAAGCTACCATCAAAGCAGAGTAAATTCATTGTTTGAAAGATCCACACGTTTCAGTTTTGACAATTTATACGTAAAACATAAAAAACACAACTTCTTAAAAAAAAGAATCAAATCTGACCATCTTGAATTTGCAGGTTTCTTACCACCAAAGAGAAGTTTCATGGGTTTATTGACTCAGAGTGGCGGGACTCTAAAGGGGAGAAGACCAGTGATGATAATGTCACACCTGAAGAAAMATCTGTGGAAGAACCCGAACCTAAAAAACTCAAGTTGGACTCTGAGGTGGAGAAGAAGGCAGACAAGAAAAGATTTCGAGGACAGAATAAGTCTAGACCCCACACAAAGCCCACCACTTATGAAGAAAAGCGGCTGTGTCTGTCAGTTCTTCAGGTTCAAACCTCTGATTATCCAAAAATGCTGCCTGCGATACTCTTAAATTGCTGTGAGCTGATTTATAACATTTTCATTCATGTAGGACAGAGAATGCACCTTTGGAGAAAAGTGCCGCTTTCTTCATGACGTTGCAGAATACATGGCCTCTAAACCCGCTGACATCGGGGAACGCTGCTACCTGTATGACACGTTTGGAAAGTGTGACTACGGACTCACCTGCCGCTTCGCTAAGGCACATAATACACCCGACTTCAAAACCATGGAGAAGGCAGACCTTGTGAAGGAGTACGAAGGCAGGATTGTGGTGAAGAACAGCTTGAGCAAAGACCTGCAGTTTCGTCTGAGGAAGCGTTCGGTGACCTTCAACAAGTCAGAGGAGTACCTGAAAACACTTTCAAACGACAAAGATAAAAAGAAACAGCACGGGAGAGGTAAGAAAAAYGAGTCTGATACATTTATATTTGTGAAAGGTCCTGTTAGCTTAAATCTTTAGAAAACGCAGTGCTTTAGGCAACAATTTAAATGTCTTTAATGGCAACTTTGTAGCCAAAGACAGACTTTATGTAGCTTCATGGACACATCCAGCAGTTTGCAGTTAGAAACTAGATTTGTGTTTTTTTTAAAGTACAACCAAACATAATTTGCCATTTTACTGCAAGTTTTAYGTGCACTATTTGCTTGCTTGGGTTTTGAATTCAGCTTGTTGCTACCTTGAGGTAAACTCTGTGTTTTCCATGGTTTTTGCACATTAGCTTTAAAAGATCCAGATGTTCAGAAACTTGTAAACACAATTGCTTAAAAAAATAACTGGCAATGTGCCAGTTTTTATCTTATTACTGAATCGATCAAAAATACATCCGTCAAAAATGTCAAATAATTTTGCTGTGCTTGCACAGTTTTGTAGCCAAACATTTCAGCGTAAAGAAATTAGTAACCCCTGTTTAACAACAGTTGTTTGGGCTGATTTTATTTGACGATGTGTTTACACAGGTGACGTTTGTGCTGCTGAACTTTCAACAGACCAAAAAGCAGAAAGCGAGCATATTCCTAATGAAACACAGGTAAAACCTTGGTTAAAACTCATCTTGTAGTGAAACGTTKGTATTTTTATTTGCACGGTGCACCAATAAGCGTTTTCTCTGTGACTAGCTGCACACCATCCCAGACACACCTCCTCCTGTGAAGACCTTAGGCCCTCTAACTGATGCAGATGTCATCAAACTGCGCCCCTGYGAAAAGAAGCAGGTTAATCTCTGCCAAAATCTTTCTTCAAAACCTAATTTACTGTTATATAGAASAAAAAAAGTACTAATTAACAGAAATCATTTGATGCTATTGTATATTTAAAAGTCACTGTTTATGTATTTTTTGTGTTTTTAGGTGGACTTCCACGACAAAATCTACCTTGCTCCTTTAACAACAGTAAGCAAAAACAGAAAATTTTGGATTTAGTTTGTTTGGAAAACCTACAACATAGCTGGTTACTAAACCCTGAGCTGGAAACGTATTTTAGATTTTATTGTCCTTTTCGTCTCTTCAGTGTGGAAACCTGCCTTTCCGTCGCGTGTGCAAACGCTTCGGCGTGGACATCACCTGTGGGGAGATGGCCATGTGCACAAATCTGCTGCAGGGGCATCAGTCAGAGTGGGCTCTTCTCAAAAGACATGAAAGCGAGGATCTTTTTGGCGTGCAGGTGACGACGGTGGTTATTAATCAGATCGTTCAGAAACACTGATGAGGTGGTTCGCCGTTTTAAAGGCCGAGTTGTTTCTCCAGGTGGAAGGATGTTTCCCTGATACCATGACGAGGTGTGCAGAGCTCATCAACAGCTACACTGAGGTTGATTTCGTGGACATCAACTCTGGATGCCCCATTGACATTGTTTACAAAAAGGTAAACTGTTACCTCATAGTTTTTAGCTTTTTGTATTAAGTGTTTCTTAATGTACACATAAAGGTWTATTCTAATACATTTAGTAGCTAATGATTTGAAGTTTCACATTTTCATTAAAGCTCAAACTTTGGATCAGTTATCTTCAACATAAATTTAAAACTCAACATTAAACACAACACATTTTTTTGGAGTTAGACTAAATGTATTTGTAGATAAATAAAGAAAGCCACTTAAACTGAGCTAATTGTGCCTTTGTGTTGTAGTCTGATGTAACTTAAATTTTATAAAACAACATAACGAGCCTGAACCAGCCAACCAGACTTTGACAGGTGCTTTTTGTTTGCTTTCCATTGTCAGGGAGGAGGCTGTGGCTTGATGACGCGGACCAGAAAATTTGAACAAATAGTCAAAGGAATGAATTATGTAAGTTTGACTTTTACATAATGGAGAGATGTTTTAGTTTGAATTCTGCCTTGTAGTATGGACTGAGATGTTTGGCTGTTAGAAAGAAATAGAGCAACTGATGTAAAACTAACCATGACTGCTTTGKGTTACTTGTGAAAACTCGTTTTGTCCCCTGAAGGTCCTTGATGTGCCTTTAACAGTCAAGATCCGAACTGGTGTTCAGGAGAAGTCCAACGTAGCGCATAAACTCATCCCAGAAATGAAGAACTGGGGCGTCTCCATGATCACTGTGAGTCTTTTATTGTGTAGAAGCTCAGATAAGAGTAATGGGATAGTTGATCTGTAAAATGCTTTTATGGGTGCTTTTCTCATGCATGAAGGATATTTTCTTTCCTYTTCCGTTATGGTTGTGGATAAACTTAAATGAGTCACGATGCTGTTGTTTCTCTCCAGTTGCATGGCAGATCCAAGGAGCAGCGCTACACAAAGTTAGCTGATTGGGATTATATCGATACATGTGCCAAGCTGGCGAGCCCGGTCCCATTGTTTGGTATTTAGATTTATAGGCTTCAGTAGTTGTGTATTTGTACACACACACACACACACACACACACACACACACACACACACACACACAC